GTGGACCATAGGAGGCTCAGTAATTCAGACCCACTGAACCCATATAAATGCTAGATGGGTGTGGCAGCCTGCCTGCAATTCCAGCACTGGAAAGCAGGAAACAGGTGCTCCTCTAAGAAGCAAGCTTACTAGAGACTAGTCATATCAGTAAGCTCTAGGTTTGATTGAGAGACCCTGACTCAAGAACAAGATGGAAGAATAGTTGAAGATGATTCCCAGAGTCAATCTTGAACTACAACATGCAAGGCCATATATACCCACACAGTATGAACACACACACACACACAAAATGGAGGGAATAAAACATCTTTTTTAAATTTTCCAGCTGACCTCCTCAAGTGTAGAACAAAATGACAACTCAGGGACTGGAGAGAGATGGCTCAGCAGTTAAGAACACTCACTGGCTGCTTTCCTAGAGAGGACCCAGGTTCAAGTCCCAGTACCCATACAGCAGGTCAAAACTGTAGAAGACCTGACACCCTTGCACATAGACACAAGCAAAACACCAACACACATAAAATAAAAGTAAATAAATCATTTAAAGAGAGAAAGAGAGAGAGAGAGTGGGGCCTTTTATAGTAAAGCCACACTTTAGCCAGCTTGTAGTGGCACACATCTTTAATTCCAGAACGCAGGAAGCAAAGGCAGACAGATCTTTGAGTTTGAAGCTAGCCTGGTCTACAGAGTGAGTTCCAGGACATCTAGGGCTACACCGACAAACCCTATCTCAAAAAACAAATAAACAAACAAAAAATACAGTAGCTAGATACAGTGACCATACTATGCTTCAGATTACTATAGCTGGACATAGTGGCACACACTTTTATTTCCAGCTTGCATTGAGGAGGGAGAGATAGGCAGAGCTCTGTGAGTTCCAAGCCAGGTAGGGCTACATAGTAAGACCTTGTCCAAAAATAAGATACAGGAACTCCAAATCCAAATGAGTCCTGCTCCCACACAAGCAGTTCAAATTGGAACTTGCTTTTTGGATGCTTAAAAATTCTGCACCTTTGCCTAAGTAGTTCCTTCCATTCGTAAGGCATTTATTCTCACAACTTTAAATGTTCCAATCCTCTGTCTCAAATGATCAGCTCACATGTTATATCTTCCATGAAGCCTTCTCCAGTTCTCTCAAACCATCTCTCCTTCCTCTGAACTTGCAGTGTTTTGCTTCCTGAATGCCACCTCTAACTTTCAAACTGATAGAAGGATTACTCTGTTCAGTATCAGTTTTAATACTTTAACATTCAAGAAGGATCTCAATAAATTTCTGCTTCATAAGTAAATGACCATGTTCAACAAGTGAGTTTCATCTTCCTCCATTGCATGTAACTTTGGAAATACCCAGAAGTCATTTAGATACCAGCTTCTTAAATGATGGGTCATGATCTCATAGGGTCACAACCTGGAATGTGGGAAGGATAAAATATGTGGCCACCAGTAAAAGGCTCCTGAACAATATCATAAATCAAAACTGTTTCTGGCCACCTTTGTCTATGCTGCATGGAGCAACTTCATCATAGCTTTGGACCTGAACATACGACATATATTTGGACTGTGGATGGGCTTATCTGAAACACCTCCACTCAGATTCAGAAAAAAACTGCAGTGTTTTTACTGTGTACACAAAGTTTTTTACACTCCTAGAAGTATAAAAGTTTAATTACAGAAAAGCAAAAACATCTAATATTTTCTTACCACCATTTCTGAGCAAGTTAGAATGTCCTTAGGTTGTATTATATTTAGATGATTGATTTTTTTTAAGATGGTGTCTAAGTTGCTGACAAGTTGCATAAAAAAAAGAAAATCATTACATGGTATTTTGGCTTGGGAGAAGGACAGGATTTCCAACAATTTCTGAAACGGCCCTTATACGCAGTTCCTCAACACTTTGTGCTACATATTTATATGAAGCTAAGTTCTCAGAATTGCAGATTATAAAATCAAAATACACATCAACTCTGAAAAGCACTAAAGATGCTCTGTATGACTGAAGTACCAAATATTCAGCCAAGAGTTAATTCTTGACACACAAATAGATAAGCACGTCTACCTCATTATACCAGGCAAATTTACTTGCATCTTTTATTAGTGGTAAAATTCTATCTATACCAAAGAAATGTTTTAAAATAAACTTATCAATGACTGTTTTTACATGCCTATTCTATATATCTATATAACTAAGGCTGAGTAAAATTTTCTCAAGCCAAAGGAGTCACAAGTAGAAACAGCTTAAGAAGCCATGTCTTAGACCACAAATGCTATGCCAAGTAGATGGGTTTCATTTCACTCACAATATACATTTTCTTGACCAAAGTAAGACTAATTCGGCATACATATATAAATCATTTGAGAGAAATTCCAGAAGAGAAGCACTGCAACGAGGATACAATCTCCCAAAGGAATCTGCAAGAAACATTCTGATTATATGGATTCTCAAATATTTGTTCAAAATTTAGTTTCATTATTTTATAGAAACAAATTGAGTTGCAACTCTTAGAGTTTTATTATCCAGTTACTATTATTTCTCTACTGATTTTAAAGTTAATTCCTTTCTATTCTTCGTGCAGAATCTGAAGCTTAGGCTTCAATTTCTTCAAGCCTTAAGAGTATCCTAGCCTAACTCTTCACATGGTTCCTCTTCCTTTAATCCTCTATTGAGCTGTCTGTGTGTCAATGCTAAGGACTGGAACTGGGGAAGAAGGAAAAAGAGGTTCCACTTACATTGTGTTTTCCTGACAGGAGTTAGGAACTTGAGATGTGTACAGGATCCACACACTTATGAAAAACAGCTGATGGATCCTCTGGCCTCCCTAGAGCCCGTGTGTTCTTCCTCACACACCACTCTCCCCCTCACTCTCCCACCCAGTTTGTGCATCTTGTTGAACAAGACCTTCTGCTAAAATACCCATATGCCATTCACTGGCTTCGAGTCCGGTTTCTCTTTAACTTGCTTGCCGGCCTGCAGTCAAGACAATCTACTTAGTGAAACCTGGTAGTACCTTTGTTTATGACTATTTATCAGTGTAATCCTCTCTACTGGTTCAACTTCAAATACCTTTTATAGGTGTTAGGAAGTGTGTAAATACATGTATTTTTTTTCATCTTATATCTACCTTTGTTTCTTTTGTATGTCTCCTGATTATGACCATTATAACCACCTATGCAGCTACTGTAAAAAACAGAAAACCTTTACTCCTGGAGAGTCTTCAGTAAGTCTGGGATGGGAACTGGAAACAGTCATATCTGCAAAGCCCCACTAGTGATTCTCGTGCACACGCTGAGAGCCACTGATTTATTACAATGCTCTTTATACAACACACATTCAGTGCTTATTAATTCATGGCACGGACGCTCATAAATAACTTTTCTCTAAATAGCCTAACCAGATATCAACCAACCCCTTGACTACACCAGCTGTGTTCCAAGTGCAACATGTGGTTTTAAGATTTCGTTTCCTCAAGTACTACACGGAGGGACACCATTACCTTGTCTCTTTACATTGTTTCCCATTTGTTGAAAAACCAGAGGCCTGGAATGCAGCCATGTCAGACAACACTACTTAAGAATGTACTCCGGAGTCTGAGATTAAAATTAGCCACAAAGAGAACAAGAACTAGATAGCCTGAATGAGTACACTGCTCCTACTCAATAGTTTCTTACTTAATCAGTATCGAAGAACAGAAATTTCCGTCCCGAGCCCCGCCCTCCTTTCCCCCTCCTCCTCCCCTCCACAGCTTTCTTCATACCGGTCTCCTAAAACACTTGAGACAGTCCGGGCCCCCTGAGGACCCAGGAAGACACTGTGTGCACTAAAGTCCTATAATCAGATAAATAACACAAGCCCCACCCGACTAACAGTTATCTATCAACTACCCTGGCACACCATTTACACAGCTTGGTTCGAAAGCAATATGAACTTTTTCCTGAGTTGTTCTTCACAGGCAACAGCAGTCTGAGTCACACCCAGCCTCGAGCAAGTGTGACATTAGCCAGGTTACAGTTAAGGGACTAGTCTCTATATCTCTTTTCCCATTTCAGAAGTGAGCTACAAAGATCAGCGAAGAGCCAGGGGCAGGCAGGAAAGTGTGGCCGGGGAAAGAACGCCCCAGCCTTCCCCTCAGGCAGGGGCTGCAGATTCCAGATTCCACAGGCCTCTCACAGCAGCTCCATCTTGCTTCCTGCCAGAAGGAGGGGCAGAGGAGGAGGCCCCCCGAATCTGGAAAGGACCCAGTGGAAGAAAACCGTTTGACAGCAGGTAAAGCTGGGCGGAAAGCTTCACGGAAGGAATAAAATGAATGATTATGGGGTCAGGGAGAAGAAAAGCAGGGCTCCTGGTTATGAATTACTGCATAAAGGTGTTAGAGTCCCGGAGGTGTGAGCAAAATGCCCCAAGGAAAGGAGGCGGCGACAGAGAGAGGAGGAAGCCAAGTAGTTGGGTAAAAGCAACAGACACCAGGATCCCTGGGGAGGGCTGGATAGGTGGGTCTCAGGGGACAGAAGTATTAGAAAGGCGAGCAGCTGGATGCAAGTAAGAATCCTTGGAAGTAAAGGCAGGGAGCTCGTAAAAGAACCCACCCACAGGATGGACAGGAGAGGCCTAAAAAGGAGTTAAGAGCAAGGTAATCAAAGCAAGGGACGGAGCCTGCCCAGGGGAGGGACAGTGAGACAACCTAACAACTATCATTTCTTGGGCGCCTGCTATGGGCACACACACGCTAGGCACTTTACAACTAAAACCTCACTGACTCTTCACAACACAGCCCCAAGGCAGGATTTCTCACGAGTGCCCCCATTTTATAGATGAGGAAACTGAGGTCCCCGACAGACTCAGTGGCTTGCTCAAGGTCACAGCCCAGAGAAATCAGCATTCGAAACCACGGCACCTGCCCAGAAGCCCACCCGGCGCTCCAAGCGCCTGCGAATGCAACCAGCGAGGCTGACCGGGACCCTGGAGACGTCTCCCGCCCGCGCTCCAGTCCCAGGCCCCGCGCGCTCACCCGGACGAGGTTGCTGACGGCCGCCTGCACGGCGGCCACGGGCGCGGTGAGGTCAGGAATGGCTTTGCCGTCCACCTCGCCCTCCTCGTGCATAATCACCAGGTGCGAGATCTGCTGCGCCACCGGCTCCAGGATGCTCTCGATCGTGCGCGTGTGAAACACCGGCATCGCGGCGGCTAGCGGGGCGGCGAACCGCGGGCAACAGAAAACTGGGATCCGAGGGGCCGGGAGCTAGCGGCGAGAGACTGACTCAGAGCGGCGACTAGAGTCCGGGCTTCCCTCGGCGTAACCAGCCCCACAGACGCCCCGCCCTCTCACGTCGCCGCGCCCAATGGGAACGCCGCTCAGAGCCGGACTGTGCCTCCTATTGGCCCTTCTTCGAGAAGCTCCGCCCCCAAAGGCCGCACCGCCAAGGTCCCGCCCCGCCCCCATTCCCAAGGGAGGGGCCTGGGATTGGGGCTGCGCCGCAGGGATTGCGACTGGATTCCCGAACCCTCTCGCGGGGCGCTCCTTATAAGGGCATAGTGGGAGCGGAGCGTGCGACTGCTCTGGACTGGCCCCGCCCCCAGGGGCCGCCTCCCGTCTCAGAGTGGCGGAGCTCCGCCCCTCCGCAGGATCACCTCAGTAGGGCGGGATATCCTCACCTCAGGCGGTGAAGGAGAGAGGAGACCCGGGCTTCCCCCGGTCTCCCCGCGGGGTGCTCCCCTTTTCCCGTCACCTGACGCGGTCAAAGCACTGTTCCGTCTCCTCCCAGTAACTCACGAGAAGGTAAAAAGACCCAGATAACAAAAACACACAAGAAACGTGAGTGCCCATTGATTTACACTATCTGCCCTCTGATAGTCACAGTTAAGTTTGGTGTAGCACTTTCTAGACCATTATGTACACGTTCACTTGCAAATACATGTTTTCTAAATATGTAGGAACTTTTCCGTAGAACTAGAGATTTGATGAAAATTACCTGATAGTCTTTCGTTTTTGGTAAATAGAAGTCTGCCACGTTCTGTTTTAAGTGACTGGCACCCCATACTTGCAAATCAACTTAGGTTTGGTTATGTTGCTAAAGTGTTTGCCTAGCAGATAAGGTTTGATCCCCAGCACTTCACAAAATCAGACTTGATAGAGTGGCCAGTATACCACCGGCACTAGGGAAGTGGATAAGGGGTTCAAGGCTACAGAGAAAGTTTGAGGCCAGCCTGGAGGAGGGGGAGGGGTGTCAGTCCTTCTGTGGATTATGATGAGCATCTATCTATCTGTAGTTAATCAGCACTCCAGAGGCAAGGTTAGGATGATCATTTGAGGAAAGAATTCCAAGCCAGTCTGAGCAACATGACAAGACCCCCATCTCAAAAAAAAAAAAAAGTGAAACGAAAATTCAAAAGTGTGTGCTTTTTAACAAGTCAGTAAGTAGGGCCAAATTGCCCAATCCCCTCACCACATTTTAGACATCTGCATGTCTCCTAACCTCAAATTCTCTTGCACAAGCTTCCTCATTCTGAGAGGAAACACGTTCACTAATGCCTACAAATGAAAGATCCTCAAAGAAAAGTATTTCTGAGGATCTCACATTTTGCAGAAGGCCAAGCCGCAGGTTGTCTTACCCAGCTTTTACAGTTATGTCTGTCTAGCAGTACAGACCCTGTTTCTGTTGTGTGTTGCTAAGTCTTGAACCTTCTCTTGAGTTGATGATCTCAGTTGGGAGAGAGTACTTGCCTACCATCACAAAGCCTTGGGTCAGTCTCTAGCATCACATGAACAAGGACATGGTGTTGGTGCACACCCATAATCTTGTCACCCAGGAGACTGAGGCAAGAAGATTAGAAGAAGTTCAAGGTATTCCTCAGCTACCTAGCAAGTCTGATGACAGCCTGGGCTGCCTGAGACCCTGGCTCAAAAACAAAACCACCTTAATATATACGAATGCACAGAGGCTCATCCACACTTGAAGAGGCTGTCTCCTACTGAAACAAGTACATCCTGTACAGGAGGGAGCTCATTTCTATCTGCTTTTTGATAAGAATGTCCTGGGCCATTCAACATTAGGCTTCTTTCTCTGGAGTCTCTCAGTTCATCATTGTATTTTACTTATTACTTAGTGACCTATCTCCTGGACAGAGGAATCTTTGGGTTAACTACAAACCTTCCCAGAGCCTGGAAACCCCTCCACTCCACTAACATAATTCTTCTCTTAGCTGCTAGGAAGAAAGAATCGAAGGCAGGCATCTCCCATTTCCCATAGGCCTCCTTCCTTAAGCTCATAGCAAACAAGTGATCTTCAAAAACTTACCCTCATTGACTCCATCCTCAAACATGCAGTGACATTGCTACCATTTCTAGACACTAGAGGAAATACATCCTGAACTTAGACCAAAGTAGGAAAGATGGCAATAGTGACTGGGCCAAAGCAAGGAAATGGAGACTCAGCAGGGCCAAAAAAAAAGGAACCAGCAGCTGAAAACCTATCCAAGACTCATGACAGAAGGCTCAATTGTCTCATTGAGTTCTTTTTCTCTATGACAGACTAGAAGGAAATACTTAAAAAATAAAGACAGCAAGCAGCCGGGCGGTGGTAGCACACGCCTTTAATCCCAGCACTTGGGAGGCAGAGGCAGGCAGATTTCTGAGTTTGAGGCCAGCCTGGTCTACAGAGTGAGTTCCAGGGCAGCCAGAGCTGCACAGAGAAACCCTGTCTCGAAAAAAAAAAAAAAAAAAAAAAGACAGCAAGCACCACCATGAAGTGCTTCTGAATACAGGAACCTGTGCATCTGCACTGTTTGCATACCAAATTGTCAAGCTGGGTTGCCTAGGTGGTAATAGTCTGACCATTACTGACTCTTTAAGACAATAATGAGCCTGGTAGTGATGGTGCACATCTTTGATCCCAGCACTTCAGAGGCAGAAGCAGGTAGATCTCTGTGAGTTGAAGGCCAGCCTGGTCTACAGATCAAGTTCCATGACAGCCAAGGCTACACAGAGAAACTCTGTCTCAAAAAAAAAAAAAAAAAAAGTCAATAGCTCCCAAGAAACACCCCCTCCTTATGGAAATTCATCAAAACTAATATAAAGGGACTAGACAGATAGCTAAATGATTAAAGACTCTAACTGTCCTTCCCAAGGATCCAGCACCCACCTAGCACCATTGTCATACATAACTCCAGTTCCAGGGGCACCTATGCCCACTTTGGTTTCTGTAGGCATTGCATGCAAGTAGTATGTATACTGCATGTAAGTGGTATATGTCAAAACACTCATGCAGGTGGTATATGTCAAAACACTCATATACATAAAACAATAAAGTAAAAAATAATGTATAAAACTTTGTCCAGTTCTATAACATACTGTAGTGGTCTGAATGAGAATACCACCCCATAGACTCCTGTATTTGAATAATGAGTCCCCAGTTGATAGAACTGTTTGGGAAGGATTAGCAGATACGACCTTGTTGGAAAGGTGTGTCACTGACTTTAAGGTTTCAAAAATCTGTGCCATTCCCAGTTAGTGTTTTCTTATCCCCCAATCCCTGTTTGCTTCTCCCTCCAGGTAGCCAGCCCCATTGTCCACTGGGCTTGAAGGAGGGGTGCTTAACCAGGCACAGATGGATGCTGTGCAGGATCTTGCTTAGTGATAAGTTGAGGTCAATAAACACAGCTTCAGAGAACTGATTCATTTATAGGGGGGGAAAGGAGGTATTTATGCCTCTGAGGAGGTGGCCAGGGTCTCTGGGGCAACACATGTATGGCCAGATCAGGGGTGTTGGAAGATGCTTTCTCTACAAGGTACAGGATGAGGAGACCTTTTTAGGTCAAACAAGGAGTAAAGTCTGATAACTGCCAAGGTAATAAGTTCTTACTAGAGTTGATGGTGGTAGAGGCAACTTTATGACATCAGGTTGGAAGAGGGGAGGTAGCCAACTCCTGCCATCTTCATCTGAGGTATCTCTCTACCTTCAAATGCATCCTCTGGCATATTTCTTGATACTTGTTAATACATGTTAACATTGATGCCTTCTAGAGTCTGGGCCCAGACCAACCTAACTACTTTCTACTTCCTAAACTACACATACATACAGATAGGTTACATAGCACAAAGAAAAAAACTTAGAATCGTTGCTATTCAAAGTAATCCTAGCTTTACAGTTTGACCAAGATACAGATCTCATAAGTGGCTTTTCTTCTCTCTGAAGTATAAATAAGATAATGCCATAACCTTCACAGACTTTTTGTAAGAATCAGTGAAAGAATTATGTAAAAAGTCCAGGAGGGCAGAGGATGTGTCTCAGTTGGCAGAGTGCTTGCCTAGTGATCCTGAGTTTGACCTAGAATACCACATGAACCAAGTATGATGGTCCATACCTGTAATCCCAGAATACTAGAGATGGCAGTAGGAGGATCAGAAATTCAGGGTCATCTTCTACAATATAGTAAGTTCAAGGCCAGCCTGGGAACATAAGATACTGTCTAAAAATAAACAGTAAAAAGTCCAGGAAAAGAAAGCTACTATTATTACTGGAGCAATGACAAATATGCATAATATTCACAGACTCCAAAACTTCCTGGTAGTGTCTTTCTTTGAGAGTTTTGTTCCAACATTTCTACCTAGAGCTTTCTATTTTGATAGAAATCTTGTGAATTATGGTAAGCAAAATTCTAAAATACCTTCGATCCCCAAGAATAAAGCAGTTTTCCCTAGCTGGTCCTGAAGATGTATGCTGCTCAAATTTCAGGTAGGAGATCACCATCGACCTATGGATAAGAAAGAATCTGTGGGGCAGTGGAATGAATAATGTTTGCTTAGGCAGGCCAAAGAGCAGACATTCCAGAATGAGCAAATCTGAAGGAAGGCCATATTCCAGGCCAGTGCTTAAGTTAGTCAGATTGAAGTGAGTGTTCATGCAATTCAAAGATAAAGATGCAGAAGTAAATTCCCACAAGATTATAACCTTCAGACATTAAAGACTGTTGGCATCTGCTCTTAATTGTGGCTAGCTCAACTGACTCTCTACTATGTGATTAGTCTGAAGACCACTAATAATGGGGAACAGTGTCAAATATGCTAAATTTTATCAATTTTAAGTTATAAATAATCAGGAAAGTTTTTGAAGGCAGCAATTATTTATTATATACCTCTCGGTGGCATAAGAAACGTTCTGTTCTTTGACGTCCATAACAATTGTGAGGAAGGTGGAAAACAGGAAGTGTAACTCTCTTTCTTATACAGGTTGAGAAGTTGA